TGCCTGTAACTGATCTTAAAACATCCTTACATTTACAACAAGATGTTATTTTAAAATATAAACTTTGGAAAAAATTTTCTAACCCTAAATTAAAACGCAATTTATGTAAATTAAATTAAAATTTGTTTAACATAACTTTATTTAGAGTTTGCAAAAAAAAAGTCCATAGTTCAAAAGTCATATCTTAAAAAAAAAAAAAAAAAATAAAGCCTTGAAAATTTCAGTAATTCAAGATTATTGTAATTGTATAAAAAAAATTGCCAAAAGTTGTTATAATTTTTTGGCTTTACGGATTTTTGAGTGAAAATTCGTGCACATTTTTGAATTTTTTTTTCATTTAACTATAAAATTTTTCTTTATGGCTCTAAATAGGCAGAACCATTTTTTAGTTTTTAGTCATGGTCATTAAGTTAAAAGTAAAAGTCATTAATTCCGTTTACATAAGACATTTTTTAATGGTAGATATATTTTTTTCATTTCCGCCATTTCAATGCCTGTTAGAAATTTGATATTATTTTTTTGTAATGTTTTCTACTAGAGCTCTTGTTAAAAAAATCGACTATCCGGCCATTCGCTTAGTCGACTAGTTGATTAGCAACGTTTTTGTTGGCTGATAGTCGACTATCAATTATTCGAGTAACCGCTCACTATCGGTTAGTCTGAAAATCGATTAACAGAAATTATTCGAATAGTGATAGTTTCTCGCAATGAAATTATTGTTATTATCGCCGTTGGATTTTGCCAATAAGCATAAGAACTCAAAAAATAAATTGTTTTCTGAAAGAAAAGAACTGTTCAAAAAATCGAAAATGAAGGGCTAGTCGACTAGTTGCTTTTGAACGGTTAGTTGAAAAAGTCTAAAGGAAACGGTTAGTCGATTAAGTGAAGTCGACTATTTTATGAATCAACTTTTGCTATTCGACTAACCGACTAGTCGACTCACAAGAGCACTATTTTTCTTTTTTCTTAATATTTTCTTTAATATTTCAGCTATTTTTAACTTCACAAATTGTTAAGACGATAAATGCGATTTTGGGTACTGGACATTGCAGTAAAAGGAATTACATATGTATATGCTCATGATTTGGAAATTCAGCAAGATTTCACTTAAATATGTATGTGTAGAGAATCGGTGAGAATAGATACATAGAGAGTAGACTTCTTGGGCAATTCATCCGCAACGCCATACCCAGCAATATCACTATGTAGTATGTACATAATTCTGAATTATATTTAAAATATGATTCCCGAAAATTTGTTATTTTGAGCAGAAATGGAAGTCGGATATAGATGTTTTTTTTTTGTAATTTTTTAAAGTAAAATAAAATCAAAATTTAATAATATCTTTTTTCGGTGAAAAATAACAAGTAGTTTTAGTTTTTTATTACGAGATATCGAGCTTTCACTGTATTTCTAAATTGGATCCCACTTCTCACACTATATAGTCAATGCATATGCATATGTATATATTAACTTATTTCAACATCGTTTAATTTATAATATATACGGGTAATTTCGCTTGCGACTCCAATTAAGGTATTGAACATTTAACACCAGATGCAATTGCGCTTATGCATGTACCCAGTTAGCATATTCCATTACAAGCGACTCAAATTCTATTCAGAAATACACTCGGAGGAGGAGCGGTTGCAGTTAAGAAAAAATATTTTTTCGTGCATTTACCTTTCGATAAATGCATACACATACATTTTTATTTTTTAATAATGCCACGGAGATCATTTCTATTAAAAAAAACAAAAACAAAATAGCACAATTGTACAAAAAGGGACATTCTAAATGTGAGATTTGGGAAACAACTTAAGTTGCTATGTAGGAAATGCATCTAGATGCTCTAGAATATTTTTACATCAAAAAGATTTAAAAAAAAAATTTGTGTGCGTTATTTTGGCGCTTAGGGCTCGATATGTTCAATTCAAATTATTAAAAAAAAAGAAGCCCAAAAAAGTTTTAGCCATTCCATTGTGACTGCTGGGACATTTTACTCCAGTATGTGATCAATAGTGAATTATAACTATGTAGTCGAAACTTATACAACAGCGAAATATATGTTTTTAACATAGAACGATAACTTATGTATAAAATTGCTGTAACAAAAATGCCAAACGATTTATTAGTTTTTTGTAACTATCGTTTGAATGAAGGTTACTGGTGGGATACTAAATAGAACAATAGAGGTTTTCACACCGAGCTTGGTACCCGGTAACTCTGTGTTCGGTAATTTTTCCCCATGTATTTTGTTTGTGTAAAATGAATTTATTATCTATCGGCTTATCAGTTGCCGAATTATCGTGTTGGAAGCTAAATAATTTTTCTATTAGTTGGTAAACTGCAATCAACTGCCAAGAGGCATATCGCACATGAGTAAGTAAATTTTCTTAAATTTTCTGTTATAATTTATTTAATTGTTTTATATGAAAAAAAGCTACGAATCAGCTGTTGATAAACATAGTTTACCAGACTAACATAATAAATATGAAAAGCACGTTCACAGTTGATAGAATTTCTGAGTACCAATTAGCAATTTACCGAAACTACCGAAATAGGTGTGAATACCGTTTCTATTTTATATTTACGCTTTAAAAAATGTTTTTGGTGTTGTAAGATATGAACTATACGCTTCCTTTTTCAATAAAAATTAGACTTATATAATATTCATAGCAATGTTAAAAGCTATTTAAATGTGTGACTGGTGGCACAAGCCCTTGAGACGGTGTAAATAATTTAAAATAAAAGTTTCCATAGACAACAATTCAAGCTTTTCTTTATATTTTTTTAATTTTTTAGCAGATTAATGAAATGCAGTCATTTAAAAATAGCTTACTACTGAAATAGATATAATAAAGGCAAATTCTTCTTTTACATGGAATGACACGCCCGTGAAAATTATTACATTCAATTAGCATGAGATAATATCATTATTACACACATCATGCAATTTTTAATGAAAATTACTACGACAATTTACCCCATTGTAATGCCGTCATAAAAAGAAATTACAAGTCAGTGAACTAAAACGTAGCAAATTATCATTTAATTCTTCCAGAAGAAATGGCGAATAAAAAATGCACCAAAAGTAACGAAAATAAAAAAAACCCATTTGAGGAAATACCACAATTAAAGTGATAAGCCTTATTTACTTTCAGGCGCGTGTACGTTGACAGACAAGGTAACATACATACATACATACGTATATATATGTAGACAGATATGTTAATTCTATAAAATCTGAAGCAGCTAATAAAACCGGATTAATTATTACTCACAGCTGTTTATAATACCAAATAAGCTAGCAGCATACAGATGATAAAGCATAACACATGTCTTATGCATACATATGTATGTATAATTGTACTTTAATATATACCCCGTCCGAATAAAGTAGACAGTATCAAAAATTAACTTATTGAAAAAGTAGCTGGAAATAAATTACTTTGCAACAATTGCAGCAGCTGAATGTGCTGCTCTTTAATTATTTGCTTTGCTACTAATTTCGGCCACTGATCTTGAAGTTATTTAAGGCAAATGCATTTTAAAGTGGTTGAAATCATAGGCAGAGTTGGACAATTGAGTTGCTCCTAGGTCATCGCCATGTAAATAAAGTCACTTGCTTACAAGAAAAATTAAAGAGTTTCCACCACTTGAAGGTTATTAAGTTGCTTTTAACCGATAATTAAAATTTAGGATTGTTGATATTATATCGATATATATCGATATTGGCGATATTTTTGGTTTCCGATACGATATTATCGGTGAGATATTTTTTTGGGCGATAATATCAGAAATATCGCCGGTTACCAGAACAAAATAATTGTATGCTTTAGCTTACACTATAACCATACTTTTTCTATTTATAGCTTAGAAATTAGCTTGAAGAAATAATTTGATATAAGAAAATTTTGTTAGAAGAAAATTTCTTTTCAATTTCTTGTGCGCCATCTTATATCAATTTTTCGTTTTTCTTGAGAGCTGGAAACAGCCTCATCAGTTCAACAAATTTTAATAGAAATATGTATGTATAACATTACCAAAGTTTTTTTTTTACATGTAGGACTTTATGTCTGCCAACAGATTTTAAATATTTGAAAAATATAACGTACATACTACTGTAAGTAATTCTTCTTTTCTTTTAAATATTATTGAACAAGGATTCTTAAATATTGCTCTGACATCTCAAAAGTTTTTTAGTGCGTTATATCGATATTTCAAAACCGATACAGCGATTTTTTCAATTTCGCCATTTCGAAAAGCGATATTTTTGAAAATATCAACAATCCTAATAAAGTTCCTATACAATTTTAAACACTTTTCGCATTTTGGGCACTCTTGTAACCGGTAAAAATTTTGTTACTATCTCATTAGCTGGTAACAAAATATTGCCCCGTGAAATATGGAAAATGCCAGAATTTCCACAAATCTTCAGAGCAGAGTTGCTGAGAATTTTAACTGCATTACCAACGTGCTTATAATCGCGGCGACAGGAAATGGTGAAATTTTTTGGTAATAAAATTTTCCGGTTACAAAACCATAATCTGTAATGTGCAGAACTGTAAGTAGTTTACTTTCCGACAGGGTATTTATTAACCTAAGTTTGTGTTAGTATTAGTAAGATCATGTTTGGCAAGTCATATGTTTCGTCGTTTGTTTACATGAAAAGCAAAAAAAAAACTTAAATTAATAAATTGTAATAAGAATGAACTTATAAAAATAAAGTAGCAAAATCACAATATCACGCTTTCCTCATACCACACCGAGAGCCAGAATCTCGCTTGGGCAGCAGAAATACATATGTATGTATGTGAAATGTAATTGTTCCTATAGATGTAAACGATTGGTAACCAGTGACCTGTTCGACAGCCACAGGCCAAACAAATTCTTAATTTAAATATAAAAACTTGTATTGTAATGAATTAAAAATAAACTCACGATTGCGGCAGTTAATGCAAATAATGCTAAACGTTGGCAAATCATTCATCGTAGGAGCGTTGCTAGTGGCAGTGGTTTTGATCAGTACTTGACACTGGCGGTGGCTTCACAGTTTACATTGTTGCAATAGTAATATCTAAGTTTTTTTTTTATATTTGGCACAAAATGCAATTCTCGGATAGTAAAAATGAAGGTCGCCAACCTATCGGAGTAGGCATTTTGGAGGCGGGCAGTGGTGCTGGTATCGCGGGTGTTGGATCGAGTAACGAATTCGATTATGAATCTGTGTTGGCGCGTATTGGTAGGTTCAAAACGCATATTTCCATTAACAGTGCCAAGATAAACCAGCGTGTGAATGGCATTATAAAATTCGGTGGAAATGAAAATCCTGTTTGCAAAAATTTTGTGAAAACCCCACTGTAAAATAGAGCAAATTCAAAAGAGTAAATTCATCTTAGCAAAGCATTGAATTCTACGAATTTCATGTTGTTAAAATTATGGTGAATAGCAGTTAAGAAATCTGAGTAAAAAAAATAAAAGCAATTAAATGCCATACTATTCGATGTTTATTTTTGAATTGGTGGTGTAAATCTACGAAAGCGAAATGCGTTGTGCAGGTTCACTGGAAAAGTAAGTGGCTTAAGTGACTTCGACTATTTAATGCTATGTGCATATGTAGTTGTGTAATTAAAACAAAATTAAGGTTTATATATGCTATACTGATACATACTGTACATGGTGGTTAAATCTTTTACCGAATTAAATAATTGGCATTTTAAAGTGTTTGGAACAGATTTTAGAAAAGATTGTGCTTAAATGGTCGGTTGTTTCTAATTGAACGCATCTGTCAAATGTTTGTCGTCAGAAACTACTGACAAAGTTTGTTGCCTTTGGCTGATGAAGTTGAAATAACAACAGGCGCGTTCAGATACAGGTATATAAATGATCACTGAAGCAAAACGGCATGGAATGACTTATGACATTTAAAAAAAAAAGTCTTCTAAGCTGATAAAATACTAGGTTTCGGTAAAAAAATTACTCTGTAGCCATTTTTGAACAAAATTAGTACGTTTAGTAAAATTTTGTTCATTAAAATTGGGCAAATTTCAAAAATGTTCATCAATCGCGAATGGGGCAATATATTTAGCCTTGTGATATCTACTGCAGCTGCCATAGCACGGAGCGCAAATTCGGTGTTGGATTTATGGCGGGAGAGAGACTCCGCCGCACACTGGGGCCGCCCCATATAAGCGGGTGCTCAGAATTCTGAAATCATTTTATTTCCATTAGTCTCGCTTAAACTACTTTACAAGTGTAAATTTTTGACGTCTTAACCTATTATTGATCATGCATTAACCCAATGGTGACCCAGCTTTTGTAATGTCTTAAATTAAATTAATTTGATTTTTTTATTATTATGCAAATTATGAATAATTTAACCTATTTGCGACTTTGACTTAACACCTTAACACATGATGACCATATTTTAACTCAATAGTGACCATTTTTTAAAGAGTCTTTCCTAGCTAAATTTCTTACAATTAGTTAAGTTAAAGTTACAGTAGAATCAGAAAGAACACAGGTCCTCTCGTTTTGAGGATAAATTTATCAAGGAATTCGCAATACTTAGAACTAAGTTAAAAGCGGGAAAATGTCATACCAGCACTCTCACAACACTTTTTAAGAAAAAAGTATCAAAAAAGTCGAAATTATTTTAAGTTTCGTTTTTTATTCGACTATGAATATGCCCTATTATGTTTTAAATTCAAAGAGATTTACAAATTAAGCATACAAAATATCGGAAAGCAAGTAATGTACCTAATAAAAAACATGAATTAATTAAAAAATATGTTATATTTTTATAAAGAGAATAATTAAAATAAAATAAAAACAAAGTAAATACTCGAAACTTTTTAATATGTGGGTGTCGTATAGTTATTATTAAATTATTATTAAAAGTATTTTAATAATGCAGTTTTGTAACCCATTTAATTGCAGTACATTAATGCCAGTTTGATGTAGGTAGGACTTAATTTTTTCCATACGAGTACATATGTTCGACGATTTTTTTTATATATATTTAGAAAATGAGCGACAACTTCACCAAAAAAATTTGCAAACATCAACGGTATGTGCAAGCTACTTCAAACTGTCACTTTAATGGGCTACAAAATTACGAACTCTTTTTTTAAATGTCTAATTAAAAACATCGATATTTTTAAGAAGTTTTAAACTTATTCGGTTTTTGTTAAGGATAGAACTATATTTTTGTAAAAAAAAATAATTAAAATTAAATAATAATAATACAAAAAAATGTCATATGTGGGTGTCTTATAGTTATGATAAGCCCTATATAATGAAAACTGTGACACTATTTCTCACAGTCTGAATCTAAATCCCATCCACGCCCCGTTAAACTAATATTATTCTACTAAGTAACTCCATTGCTTTAGAAAAGAAGGATCTCCGGTTCTTGACCGCTAGCAATAAGCGGGAGCAAGTAATCAGAGGATCTGATGAAACTAACAATCTATTAAAAACGTCTTCTAAATTGCCAGCGCGATTCGTTTTCCTACTATATATATCCCTAAAGTCTTTAAAGTCCTTGTTCGAAATAAATGCGCTTCTCACTAAAGATTTTTAAGTCCTTGTTAGAACTTTGTAAATCCGATTTTTATTAATTGATCAACCTTAAAATAATAAACAGTTTAAGTTCGAAATGAAACAGAACCATAATTAATCAGAATTATATGTTTTTGTGTTTAATTAAAATCAAAGTGAAATTTTTAAAACACGCTTGCACGCTTGGCAGCATTGTGCGCCGCCGAGTACTGCCGTTCACTCCGGTGAATGAGCGTCTCGCCACAATGATGAAGGTGATTTCAATGCGGGTGTGGGCAAGGAGAGGATCTTTGGTGCCTGAGGCTGAGGGGCCCGTGACATTGTATTGTTAAGTACTAGGACTCAGCATAAAGAGATCCTTCAAACTGCGTGGCTGTCACTAGATCGAAAAACCAAATCTGTCGATAGACGGAAGGATGAAGGATCCAAGGACCAAACATTGAATCAGACCAACGCACATAAGTACATACATCTATTCAGGAAAAATGTGCATCCAGAAAGATAAGGAAATGCCAACATCTTCGCCACTGGACTCCACACATGCCCTCTGAGAGCACTCTTCAACAAATCGACATATGCAAGCAGAAGAACCAAATTTACCGTTCATTATGTACCACTACTGAAGGAGTAGGCAGAGTTCAGTGAGCCCTAAAGAACAACTGGTACAATGAAGAATGTCATAAAGCTGCAGAGAAAATAGATACCACCTATAGGGCCATACGCTAGATGTATGTGATCGACTCAGGAGCTAAAGAAGGAAGAAAAACGTAATATGAAGTGGAAGGTCGAAAGAGCGAGTGTGACGACCTTGGAAAGCCGAGCGATACGAAGAACGACCGATAATTCTAGCAGAAACTTAGCCAACTTACCGAATGTTTCAAGACCAGGGCGAATGTTTGTAAGACAAAAAACACGACGACCTAGTGACCCAATTAAATTATATAGGGAACTCCCTGTCGATGAAGATGGACTTGATTTATTGCGACCCAACTGTGATGAGTATGAATAGCAATTTCGCAACAACAAAGCCCCCGGAGCTGACGGCGAACCAGTCGACTGGAATATAACACATAAAAAAGGTTTGTCTCTTAACCGCGTTATGAGACACCACCAACTCCGTCATAATTGGAAAGGACCTCTACGAGCTGTGTACCTAATACCAAACGAAGTTTCAGACAGGGTATAGAAAAAGATAATGCGAGTAAGATATGCATAACTAAACCACTCCAACAATAATGCCAGCCTTGAAATCCAACGAGGGTGATATGTCAAAACGCGAACAACAATGCAGGAAGAAGAAGAAGATGATGAAAATTTGCATGAAAAACAGCGATTCTGTCAAATTCACCGAGAGCGGAATAGCGGCACGAGATAGTGGCCATCTCTGTTCTCTACACTGTGGCCATTTCCAATAGTGGTCAAAATCGCTTTGTGGTTACAGTGCCAGTCAAGAAGAAGATAAAAAAATGTCTTTATTTCCCATATTATTAAGCTAGACAAAATTAAAAAAAAAAACCTATATTTTCAAACAATTAAAGAAACTAAAAAAGTTAATGAGAATCCTTTTTTCACAGGGTTTGGTAAATCACAATGGATACTACTCCTCATCTCCGGGCTATTGACTCTCTGCTCAATGGCGACACAAACTTCGGTGGGCATTATGGCTATAGCATCTCAGTGCGAATTTGGCATGAGCCAAGGTGAAAAGGGCATAATGATGGCGGCATGTGTGACGGGAATTTTCCTATCCACATACTTTTGGGGGTATGTTAGCGATGCTTTCGGACGGCGCTCGGTGCTCTTCTATGGCACGATAGCCACTAATTTGCTACAGTTGATCTCGATGTTCATCACAAATATATGGGTTTTCAATATTGTTAACTTATTAATGGGTGTAAGGTGTGTACTATGGTCTTATATTTGTATAAAATATATAATTAACATATGAAATGAGAGTACCTATAAATTACTTGTTGCAGTTTGGGTGGCGTATCTGCAGCTATTTACGCATATCTCAGCGAATTCAACACTGACAAACATCGTGCTGTGGTTATTAATTATTCAACAATGTTCGTTAGTATAGCTGCGATTTATATGCCAGGTATGTATTTAAATATTTTTATTACTTACAAACATATGTGTATTTTAGGTGTGTACATATGTTTGTACTCAAGTATGTACACATTAGGGTGGAGATATTTTTATAAAAATTTTAAATTTTAGCGGAACACCCCTAAAAACATAAAGCTAATGGAGAAGCTACCATATCCAAAATTGCCAATTGGGTCAGAAGTTTGAAATGATCCAAATATTTTTCTTTAAGTGTACTATAATATCGATAATACTATTTTGTACTCATAAGGGACCTTTTTGTAGATCAGGGATGGACAGATTTTTGGCTCTTAAAGCAGTCAAAAGAGCCACCAAGTGCTGGGCAAGAAGTAAATCAGTTCTTAGGATAAAAAGGGGTTGCAAAAATACATTAAAAGCATCATATATATATTAGTATTGAGAGCCGGAGTATAAGAAATTTTAATACGGTCTTCTTCCCCCTTCATGCTGGCTCCTGATGTTACCTCACATCTAGCACCTAAATGTGCCAATCCGGCTCCTAAGTGCAAAAGGCTCCTGGGAGCCACTGTTGTAGATGATGGAAAATTGCGGTTATAATCTTTTGCGTCGTTTTTTTTTGCCAAGCATTTATTTTAATTTTGCATCGGTTTTACACTACTCTCTGCACTACCAACTCTTAGAACGCACTTATGTTTCTCTTACTATTGTGAAAATCTTCTGGATTTTTCATGGAAATGTTAAAACGCTGAAATAGTTAGCCAGAGTTTGGTGTAATCAAATCAGCCAATTGATTTTTTAGAAACTTGTTTACGTCCACCACTTCTTCATCATAATTCGTGTCAAACGAATTTAATTTGTGCGACATTCTTATTTTTGGTGTGAATTAATTTAAATTTTTCTTAAAACATTTACAATTTCAGCGCATAAATGGATTTTGAGATCCAGAGCACTTGGTGCATGGCTCCAGCGATCAAAAACTCATTATGTCTTTAAAAAACACTCCCAAAAATGACTCCAACAGCTCCATATAGCCGTCTCAAGCGTGATCTACTTTCTCCATTCAAGTCAATGTTGGGGGCATTTTGCTATATCAGTGAACGACTCACAAAAATAATTATTTTTTGAAGTAATTTGTTTTCATTTTTGTTGCCTTGTGTAATACCTACTTTTAAAATTTGTGAAAAACGATTTTTGAATCATCTAAGACCATTGGCTCAGTGCGGAAGTTCTAAAAAACCCCCAATCGGGCTGTAATTGTATATTTCATAATTCTTTAACCAATACCACATTTTTAGAGGTCGTCCCCAATAAAAAAGTTGTATTTTTTGGTTTCATACAAATTAGACCCACCTTATTGCATATGTGTGTATGCATGTGATTAAGGGGTTTCGCAGTAAATGTGCAGGGATGTGAGTGATTTAATCTATAACTATGAAAATATTAACTTCTATATCATTTGACAAACCAATTTGCATATTTTATTTAATAAGGGATCTTATTTTTGCAATGAACTTGAAAAACCTGATCGAATTACACAGTTATCCGCAAAATTGCAGTGAAATTTTTTTAATGTAAAAGCCTATGTATACACATAGATATGTACATATATGGATGAAAATCCATACATATGAATTTGTATGTAAATACAGTATATATGTACACTAGGGTGGTCCAAGTTTCATTAGGGGGGGAAAATGTCATCGTAGAATACCGGGCACCACCTTAGTTTTTCCATTTTGTATTTGTAATAGCTATACCAAATATTCTACTGTAACCAATACAGGGTACTCAACGACCTTTGAAACTCATAAAAATATTGATGATTTTTATAATTGGCAGCTAATTTAAAATTGAAATGGTCTTAGGTTGCTCAACCCATTGTTTGGTTAATATATGTACAATATACTTCCAGAATAAAATATAAAAACTTCGTGAGCATTCTCTAAATTTATACAGAAACATAGAATTTGGTGCTAGCATTTCTTTCGGCAAGAGGACAACTTTTTAAAGGTGCCCCCAACAGTATCTCGGAAAATATTTTTTGGACCACTCTAATGTGTACCCTGTGGGGAAAATCTCTGAATCTTCTGAACTGGTGCGCTTCTAGTACATTTAGACCCAGTACTGGTTCGCGATAAATCTCTTTTGCATGCAAGCAACTGGCGAATTTAACATGGCGATGTCCTAGGAAGTGTCAATTGCCCCCCGCTGCATCCCTTTTTCGATAGTTCCGAACTAGTCCTAAATTCTATAGTTCCGAACCAGTTCTAAAATCGACAGACGAGAGAAAAAAGTATCATGATTTTTCAATATTTTTCGTGCGATTTTAAGTTATTTCTTTTTAGTTTGAAATTAAATTTATTTGAATGATCGTAAGAAATGTACGTTTACATACCTTTAGCTGTGTTTGCAGAGATGCTAGCTGTTATTTCTTACATTCCAGACGGTCCCAAGATGTTGAAATGTTAACACAAATTTTAGTTTTGTATTACCAAGCTATTTGAATGATCGTAAGAAATGTACGTTTACATACCTGTAGCTGTGTTTGCAGAGATGCTAGCTGTTATTTCTTAGATTTCAGACGGTCCCGAGATGTTAAAATGTTAACACAAATTTTAGTTTTGTATTACCAAGCTATGAAAAAGCATCTGCGAAGCGCAGAATAGAAGCGTATTTAAACGAAAAAGCCGCCAAACACATATCTATGTAAAGTAAACAAGCCCCCCGCTGCATCCCTTATTCGATAGTTCCGAGCTAGTTCTAAATTCGACAAATAAGATATAGTTCGTTCTGCATCCCTTTTTCTATAGTTCCGAACCATTTCTAAATTCGTCACTTTAGATATAGATTTCTAGTGAAAAAAACTGAAAAAAATTATTTTTTTTAAAAGTACCACATTTCGCTGATTTTGGACTAGTGGGGATCTAGTTCCCATCGGACTAGTTCATATTTGGCGATAAAGACCTAGTACTAGAACTAGAACCTAGAACTAGAAATTTGATTCACTAGACCGCGGTTTCCCTGCAGGGCATTTGTATGCACGTTTCTATTTGAACAATTTCAAATAAATGTAAAACAAAATTGCTCTTGTTCAAACTTTTTTCCTCTATGTAGAAACCCTAAAAATTTTCTTTTCTTAACATTTTCAGCAACCTGTTGGCTGGTCCTTTCGGCTGATTGGACACTTCACATAACCGACAGTTTTGTATTTCGTCCCTGGCGTTTGATAATTTTGCTTAACTTGTTGCCCGGCTTAATTGGTGCCGCAATGTTGTATCCCTTCCCAGAGAGTCCAAAGCTGCTATTGGCACAAGATAAGGAATACGAAGCTGTCGCTGCACTGGAATGGATCTGTAAAATTAATCGCGGTCGCTCTTTGGCAAGTGTTTTCGGAAATGATACAGATTTCAAACTGAAAGCAGAACAGATTGCTGACGATGACTTGCGCAGCGGTGGTGGTGGTGTTTGTGGCATACTAGTGAGCATTTGGAGAGCCACGGTGCCACTATTTCACAAACCACATTGCACCAACTTCATATTGAGCATTGTTTCGGTGTTTGGCATGTTTCTTACATCGGCGGGTATGCAAATTTGGTATCCGGAAATTGTTAATCGTTCATCGGGCGATAATGTTGGAAGTTCGTCGGTGTGTGAGATTTTAGAAGCTTCGTTCGAGAAGCAACGTCTAAATGTGACCATCGTCGATGCTGAGGTAAGTTATAAAGGGTTAATTTTTGTGTCATTGCTACAAATTACTTACTTGGTACATAGATACTAGTGTTGCCACTTAAAAAATTCGAAAAAAAACGATCAAAAACGATCAAAATTAAGGTTTCATTAATTATGGTGTACTTACTTATACAAACCCTGGCCTTTAAATCGTCGTGAACTAAAGAAGATCCTTAAATTGGGTTGGCTGACGTTTTGTTACCGACTATACCACATTGTATTCATTTGGGCTAGGTTAGGTTGTCTAAAAAAGGAAGTTTTACCATATATGAGTATATATATGTGCGACTAATGAATTGTTGTTCACAAATCCGAGACAATGTTACAGACCACTGCCGTTCCTTTAGGGAATTGTAATAGGCACTTTGGCCCTTTATCGGTTGCTGTAACTTCGCCAAGCAGTGCCAGTATTTGCCTGTTGAAAGCTGAAAGTTCGAAACATAAAATTAATCGAAAACTACACTCGATTCGAAAATGAATTAGTACTTCCTATAACTTTAAAATTTTGCGGAACTGATTGCTTTCCCAACGAATATTGATACCGCACGTTACGGAGAACATTTAACTGGACAAATCTTGTTTATTTTTTATTAAATAAATAGTTTTCTTTAAGTAACAATACATGTCTTGGAGACATTAAGCAGCACTGGAGTCAAATGGTGGAACTAAAAAGTTAATGGCCCGTATGAATAAAAATAGGACCTAATAAATTTCAGACCTATTACTCGATTTATTGAAACAAAATTTAAGTAAAAGGTATGCAATTTTAAGAGAAGGGCATTGCTTCTGGTGATTTTTTTTCTACCAAAAAAAGGTTCCGTTTTTAATGGCCCATTTCTCTTTTCATGTTCCATTCTAAATTAAACGACAATATTATTCAATGCGTGAGCTAGATAAGGACAAGAAGGCAAACATATGCCCTTTTAGAGGGTTGAGTAACATAAAAGACATTTTGTACAGTGGAAGAGCAATATTTTTTGGAAGAAACGAAATCCCCATTAGTTTTATTCATACGGCCCAATTCACTTAGGTGCCAACTGAGGACATTTGGAATTGTCACGTGAAGCCAAGGCTTTTCCCACTTGGTTTTTCCATCAAAGTGGAGTCCACCCTCTTCCTCTGCTACTGGCCACCAGTGGATTTCCGTCAGCACAAGGTCGACATCAAAAAAACCCACAAACGGGGAAGACGTGACCTTTATGTTTTTTTTATCTAGGTACCATAGGCTCAAGGCTACTATCAAATGAAACAACGTTACAATGCACAAGTTATACCGTAGCTCAAACGCGTTCGAATAACTTTTTCATTCTCGAGTAACTTTGGCAATCCAATTCGGATTATGGCAGTATTGAATATGGGAATTCGAAAATGGAATATTTTAATTCGATTTTGGGACTACGTAGTAAGGAAAATCCTTTTACAGACTTCCAATCGACACACATACCTAGTAGCCGCTCTGGTCCTTCGTAAATTATATGCTCCACTCTTTCCTTGTGATAGTTACACTTGCCTGTGCTTGCAAGCTGTGCGCGTATCAGTACTACTTGATGTCCTGAGTCCGCGGTTTATATTAAAAGCAAAAAGTCCCGAAGCCTTTTTTTTATCGCATAACCTGCGCATAGTCTTTGCAACCCTCTAGTCATATTTACGTTTCCATATTCTCCCTGTCTGCCAGTACATGCGAAGTTCATGATTGTGTCGATTGGGCATTCGCCCAAAATTCGGCGCAAATCGTGTGAATGCACAAATAAATTGCCGTATCCTAATCACGAAAAACAATTTGTTTGTTGACTACAAAATAAAAAATTGTCGTCCCATTTTTTTATTTTGTACCAATAGCCCAATATAAGACTTGTACAAATCTGTACAAATGTACCAATAGTGTGACACTGCCTTAAAGAAATTGGTATGTCCGTCGCTAGTAAAGCATCCAGAAGAAGACCCTCTTTGACTAGCTCATTAGCTTACTTCTCACGGCTTTCTTACAATGTACGATGGTCTTCGAATAGAAACTAATAAAAGTAGAGCCTTAATGACTGTCAATATAAAAATGTATCTACCTTTACCGCTTTCGTTATTGCAAAACAAAGAAATACTACTGCGGTCCGCTAACATAAAGGAACTGCAAGTTTCTGGTTCAGAGCAGTAAACCGCAGCTCCTTTTCCTTCGACCATTTAGGAACCGTCAGTTTGGAGGTGCATCGCATGATCTTCCATACCCGTATCACACATCGAACTTTGTTGAAAATTCATTACACATTTTGAAACTGAATCCAGGTCTGCCAATTTGTTTTAAACCTTGCCATTTTTGTCTCTATTTTATTTCAAATGGCAACTAATTTTTCAATTTGGCACAAAGTGCCACAATGGAACATTTTTTAAAATAGCAATACTTTAATAAATTTTTATGAAATACGTTGCGTATGCTGCTTTTTCGCCAACTAAAATTTTCTAGTTTCACTTTTGCTTTAGAAACATGATTCTTATTTTATTGATAAATGGGAAAGAAATGGTTTTCTGTAGATTAAAAATAATGGCACTTTTATTTCCCCAATATGGCACCTTAGCTAAAGATAGCTGCAGGCTGTCTGAACCCAAGCTTACCTCAGACAAAAAATCTAGCAGCAATTGTCAAAAGTGTTGCGCGGACACAGCGGACCGACACCGAATGCCTTCTGATGTCGCCATAGCACCGCCTACATGACTAGGGTCAAATGCTCCCTGTCAAGGGTCACAACATAATGCCTTGTATGCAGTCACTGCTTGCCGCAGAGTCCTCGCCTAGGCACATCAGAAGGCATATATGTATACGAACTAACAGACGAATTCCAAAGGTTCCTAAGACAATTTCTGGCCCCGACAGTATACCGATAAGCCAATAAGTGGCATTCACAGGGAATCGGTCTCTACTTGCACCAAATTCCGACCTGTGAATGCCGTTTTGGGAACACAGTCTAGGGAAACTCGCACCTCAATAGCCCAACCTCGCTCTGGATACTGCAGCAGGCTAAACTCCGACCTGAGTATGATAAATGCAGATGTAAGCAACCCTTCGCATGCGCCCTAAACCCCACTCAACTAACGCCTCTATCCCTATGGACCAAACCAGTCGGACTGGCACATTTTCTGGGTCTGCTGTTAGTTGAGCTTTACGACACCGATTGAGGGACAAGCCCATCTAGGGAGAGCTAAGTAGCCGCTACAAAAACAACAATGAATGTTCTTAGCTACATTGTGGGCCAACCGGTGGCACGTAAAATACCCGAATTGTGGGAAGTGCCACTGTCGCTGTTCTCTTTAAGGTATGCCTTAAGTTAATCATTGAAATCATATAAACGCTCTGTAGTCTTTTTAACCGACTTCCAAAAAAGGAGGAGGTTATGAGTTCGTCGGAATATTTTTATTTATTTTTTATGTATGTTACCGCATAACTTTGGACCACGTCAACCGATTTCGATAATTCTATTCTTTTTGCATCGGAAAGGTAGTGTCTCAGAGGTGGTCCCGTACTAATCTGGTTTAGATCCGATCATTGGATCATGAAATATATAGAGATATATATATATTTTTTTAAGTCGGTTTTTTTTGCTAAAAATTCCTTGTTAGATAATTCTTTTTTCACCGTTTCCCACTACACAAATACCGCGTAGAATATTTAATATAGGCCCAAGAGTAGGAAAAATGTTCGAACTACAATCCATCATACGTACCTTCTACAATGCCGTCAGTGGCTTCTTTTCGATAATTCGCTGTCTTTGGTTATTCACAGGTCTTGCCTCATTTGGGTCTACTCTACCTATATTGGATTCTCTAACTTTTTAGTGAATAGAGCAAATCGGATTACCCGCATTAATACTGAGTTCCACTTCCGTAGCCCAGTCACTGATGAACTTCACCGTCTGGTCCGCCAGAGAGCTAAGTAAAAGTCATCACACATTTACCGCTGATGATGACTAAGACATTGTCTGCATAACCAGTTGACATAGCAAGACTTCGGCAGAGGGTGAAAAAATCGGATTATACGTTTCCATAGTAACTAAGTAGATGCTAACAGGTTAGCCTTGTCCTTAGGCAATGTGTTGAAAGGTTCGTGGAATGAAAAAAATATTTAAACAATTTATAGATTTAGCCAAAGCTGGTGAAAAGTGGCGATAAAGGACCCTCGCATCCGGTAACAATAGTGGTGAGTGCCCTTTCTCCGGCTTTGTTTAACATCAATAGTTCGCCAGCACATTTCTTGTTTAGCTACAACCATTACAGCCATGAGACTTACAGTTGTCCGGTTTGGTACAAATACTATTTATAAGTTTTCCACAGTGAACCACAAAGCTTCAGTTATCCGCACTGATGTGCTGTTCCTTTTTAGACGAATGATTTATCAGCCATTCTACTGCATTATTTAGCATATCGCTGAACTAGATTTAGTGTGAGTTTACTGAAGTGAAACTTCTTTAGCGGCAGTTGCTTGGTTGGGAGTAAATTGGCAAATTCCACGGAACTTGCACACGGAAATGGTGTTACGGAAATTGTGCAACGGAAATGGTTGGGGCTGAAAAAAGGGCTTATTGAGTGCATGCACATGGTATGAATTTAACAAAAACTTGTTAATAAAAGGTTAACGAATGACACTTAGAAAAAGACCAATACAAGAATGAAAGTAAAAGCGAGTACGTACGTAAATAAAGAAGAGGATAAAGGCAAAGGTAAGAATAAAAACAAAATCAAAGATAAGTAAAGATAAAAGGAAAAAATTAAGATAAAGGCAAATTTAAACACTTTCCTTATACAAGGCAAAGGTAAAGGGGAATATGTAGATGAAGAAAATATAAACATAAAAATATAAACAAAGATAAACATAAAGAAAAATATGAGGATGAAGATACCGCTAAAGGTATAGATGAAGATAGAAAGGAAAGATTAAAATAAAGGTAATTATAGAGAAAAGGATAAAGATAGAGACAGAGACTCAATCTGGGATTTTAGATACTTTTGGGATTCTCGGGACTTATCGATATAATAATCGATATTTTTTCGGTTTTGTTATCGATAATTTTATCGTCTTAGCTATCGATATCTTCGGAACATATCGATATAATAGTCGATATTTTTATCGACTTTGCTATCGATTTTGGAATCGATATTTTTAACAATTTTGTTATCGATGTTTTGTATCGATATTGTTATTAGTTTTCTTATCGATATTGTTATAGATTTTGTTATCGACATTTTTTATCGAATTTGTTATCGACATTTTTTATCGCATTTGTTATCGGTATTTTTATCGATTTTGTCATCGATATTGTTTTAATCGATTATATATTGATTTTTTCATCGATCATTTATCGATTTGGTTATCTATTATTCATCGATTTTGTTATTCGTTTTGTTGTCGGTTTTGTTATCTGTTTTGTTATCGATTTAGTTATCGATTGTTTGTCGATTTTGTTACCGATATTTGTTTTCTTATCGATATCTTTATCGATTTTGTTATAGATTTTTTATCGATTTTGTTATCGATATCTTTATTGACTTTCTAATCGATTTTGCTACCAGTATTATTATCGATTGTGCTATCAAAATTTTCATTGAATTTGTCATCGATTTTGTTATCGATACTTTTGTCGGTTTTGTTATCGTTATTTTGTTGGATGTTACTATCGATTTTGGTATCGATAGGGTATAAAGATAAAACTGAAGATAAAGGAAAACAGAATAACATAAATGTAGTTATAACGAACAGGGGAAGATAGAAAAAAACAAAAAATATAACCTTAAGCAAAGCAGATGTATGTATGTATATTGATTATGAGACAAAATAGATATGTTACGTAAGTTTCACTTCTCCAGTGTGGCCCAGGCACACTTACTTTTTTTAATTTATTAACTATTTCAGCCCTCGTAATATATTTTGCAATGGAAAAAGTTGGAAAATTAATTACTTAAACTATTAAACTGAACACGCAGTCGAAATTTTAATTTATTTATCTTATTTGATTCATAGTCATAATTCAGTTATTTGTAAATATGTATGTACTCACTTCTGCTTAATTTACTTTTTTATTTTTTGCAGATCTGTGATGACAGCATCACAACAAAGACCTATATTGATAATATGATTGTTGGCTGTGCATTTTTAGTGGGTTTTGTCATACAGGGTGCGCTATTGAATCCTTTGGGACGTAAAAACGTATTGTTAGCTGCATTGGGCATTGGCACCTTAAGTGGAATTCTTTTGCATTTTGTTGCTAATGCACAAGTGGTTCTAGTACTCTTCTGTTTGTATATACTCATGCCAGGATTATCAATTTCTATAATGTGTGGTGCAATGGTGGATTTGGTGCCCACACACTTAAGGTGAGACTAAAAAATTTAACTAAGTTTTAGAATACACATAATCAATATTTCCACATATCTATGCATAAACAAATAATTTCTTGCAGGGGTAAAGCCGTTAGTATTGGCTTAGCCATGGGTCGTTTGGGTGTGATAGTGGCCTCTAATATGATTGGTGTAATGCTGGAGCCATATTGCAATACCACCTTTGCCATACTAACAGCATCAATATTGAGTGAGCCAATGAGTTTTGTTATTTTTTCGGTAGCTGTTTAAAAACTTGAATTTTTTTCTATTTTCAGTTTGCGGCTTCTTAGTGCACTTCTTACCAATATAAATACTTACAATAAGTATGTTGCGTCCCATAAATGCGTAATGATCTTGTTAATTTTGTCATCAACAAATTTGGCTTTATTTTTTTTTTATAACATTTATAATATGGATTGAAAGCTTTAAATCTTTGTCACCTAACTACAAAATTTTGTAAGTGCAAGTACTTATACATAAAATTATGTGTATGTATGTATATATATATATATATGTTATACATATAACAATAAAATTAAAGTGTTTGTTTAACTAGCGCATGCATTGCAGTAATAAATTCGTACTTGGGTTTGAATCTTGCCACATAAGTTAAACTTAAAGTACATAGTAGTCTTTAAAACATTTTTAATTTTACAACTACAAAAAGAAGTTTCACTCGAAAATGTTTGAAATGAGTTGCTGCAACATCCTTTGTTTAATACATCGAAACGTAAATTTATGTTTGTAATTGAGTTTATATCGCATCAGTTTTAAAAAGGTTCATCAGCTGATGGATTATCATTGACATGTGCCTAATTATTTCGGTTAAGTTTAGTATAAGAAGAAAAGAAAATAATAAATAAACTTTTTGCAACTAAAATTTAAGTTTACTGCTACCTGATCAGGAGTTTCCAGCAATCGTTGTCGTAACATCAATAGTAGCGGCGTACGCTTACCAAACCTATAAAAGAAACGAGCAAAATTTGGTGTCTATCATACGCCATGGTGCCCATTTATTGCTGAATTTATGTACCTGGCTCGAGAGCGTTCGCCGTAATATGTGTCCAGGTCTTGTAAGTATTTGAGTGCATCGGCCATACTGCTGATGTCATTGTTGCGTGGCGGTCGAGAGTTGGCTGTAGCGGTATGCATTGCCAAGAGCACCAGCACAGCTAGCAGAATGATTCTCAGTCGGAGATTCGACGACATATGTGTATGAAAGCAGCTAAATAAAGGACATAGACATAACAAGCTTTCTCTAGGCAAAACCTGAAAAATATTAACTACAATAGCCTTGCTAATTTTTAGGATATTATTTTGTGAAACCTTACTAGCAGATATGTGCATGCAAACAAGAAAAATGCCAAAAGAGGTCACAGTTAGTACTGGAAATCGATGTTTGTAGAGTATAAAAATTGTCCTCTAAACAGCGTTTAAAAATTAAATTTTTATTTAAATTAAAAACAAAAGTTATTAAATTTTAGCTCCTAACCATTTGATATACGAAAATTTGTAGCTCGCTCGGGTACTTGAAAGCAATCAAATTTAAAATGCTTGACTACCTTAATTTTTTTTTATTTATTCGCTATAGTAACCGGATGGCTAAAAAAGAAAAAATTGGATAGTTGCCACCTGTTTGTAAGTTTCAGTTTCAGTTTCAGCAAACTAGCAAGATAAAGTAAATATAGCAATATGGCCGTCAAAAGAAAAAGATTTAAGAAGGCTTGCAGTCGAAAATATTTTTGAAGGGGGCTGCCACCTGATTGAAAATACCTAATTTAGTTTAGTTAAAAAAAAGTGTAAAGTTCCATTCCATCCAAGTTATTTTAGCTGTAGTAGACAACGCACAATGATTCAAAACTGGAATTTGCCGTTCATAATTCACTGGAGCCTTTATTTTTCAATCAATTGGAATAATTTTAATTAAATTAAATTTTTAAATGAAAACTGATTCTTGATTTTTTATTTGATTATAATAAATTTTATAGTGCAAAGTGCAGAAAAGTTAGTTAATAAATCGTAAATAATAGAAACTAGTACAGCACAATTGTAGGGTTCCCCCAAAAAGAATAAATATTCACAAAAAAATTTGAAATGTAAAAAAAAGTTTTTAATTGGCTAGCGGTTCACATTAATTTTGCATAATATATATAATAAGAATAATAACTACACGAGCCAAATAAAACGTTTTTATTCAACATTTAGCAAACTGATGTGATTTAAATGCTTGGGAAAAATATTATTAAAAATCAACGCGAACTCTTAGCCACTTGCCACGTGCAACTTATTATACTTCAAATAAATGATATGGGCGATTCCACCGTCACGCATGAGAAATTTGTACAGAAAAAATGTTCCTTCTTCTTTAAACTTCATAATATTTCGTCTCGGGTGGGACACGTACGAATTTTTATATGAAAAGTAGCTTTTAGTATGATCCCTATTAAAGATTAGTTATTAAAGAATATAACAAGCCAAGCAGGGGTTCAATTCACTCATGTTTTATCTTAGGATAGTGCCTTTTATATAGAAGAAAATGCCTAGCCCAGTCAACAAAAAAAAAAAAATATATTAAAAATCAACGTGATTTTCCAGGGTCTCGAAATTTTTAATTTTACCTATTTAGATTTAATGGGCTATAAAATTGCATACCTAGAATTTTTCTAAAAATTTTGAACAAAAATTTAAAAATTTTTGGGCGTAATTGTTAAAGTTTGTTGAATTTTTATAATTTTTGTACGATGTTTGAAATATGGATTTATGTGGTTCTGATTATTTAATGAGGTAGACTTTTACATAAAAATATAAATCTTCTATATATATAAATGTGAATGTCTGTTTTTTTATTACCTTATAACTTCTGAACTGCGGCACGGAATCGCATGAAACTTTGCACACTTATTTGCTTTTACCCCGGGAAGGCTATAGGCATAGATAAATATGGGCAGTACTGGAAAAGAGGGCGTGGCACCTCCTATACTAACTAAAATTTTCATGTTGTATACCTCTTGAAATATTTGTGGTAGAGTATTGGAACTTGCTGTCGAGATAAATAAAATTAATTCCATACTCATGGGAAAATATAGGCGGTATTGGAAAAGGGGGCGTGGTGCCCCGCATAGGCGTGAATCATTTAATCAGCTCTAACTTCGGAACCGAAAGCCGAATGAACTTGAAATTTGGTATGCGGACTCAGCTACGGTAGGTGCTTATAGTAAGATGTATATGAATAAGTTTTGAAAAGGGGTGTGGCACATCCCGTAGGCGTGGAATTTTTTATCAGCTATAACTTCGAAATCATAAGTCACATCAACTTTGAATTTGAGATGCAGACATATTTACTGTAGGCGCTTATAATAATAATAATAATAGATTGGCGCTTACACATACATATGTTAGTGTTTGGCCGAGTCTCTCCGACATGTGGCGTGCGGTTTGATGTTGTCAACTAAATCGGAGGGACCTACAGTTTTACGCCGACTCCGAACGGCGATTGTATTTTTATGAGAAGCTGTTTTTCATGGTAGAAATAGATTGGGAGGTTTGCCATTCTCTACCGAGGGTTGAATGCTATTAGAAAAAACTTATTCTTTTCTTTCATTTTTGTTATTAGACCGAAATTTTGCTCGATCATAGGCCCTACGTAGGTGTAGTGCGCACTTTTAACCACTATCCCATAGACCAACAAAGATGACAAAAAAAATTTCTTTGGGAAAATGTTAAAACAGCTCCAGATCTTGAGAAAAAAGAGGTCAAAGTGTTGAAAAACCGTATTTTTCGCAATATTTTAGAAGGTCTAGCAAATTAACAAAAGATGATAAAATCTTCTACTAAGGCTTAAATTAAAGCCAAAACTCTCGACTACTACCTCCGAAAATACCGTCGCTGCACTGCAAAAACTGATTTTGGCGAAATTTAAGTGCCTACCGCAGTGGCGAATCCAGCGGGGGATTTTGGGGGTTAAACTACGTGTTAGGCAGTGGCGGACCCACAGGGGGTCTTTTAATAGATAAACGCCATATTATACATACATATGCACCATATTAAAACACCTCCCGTGGATCCGCCACTGACTGACACGTAGTTTAACCCCCAAAACCCCCCGCTGGATCCGCCACTGACCTACCGCAATAAAGTAAAAGGTGAGAGAACCTTCCACTGAGGCTTAAATTAAGGCTTGAACTTTCGACTAGTATCCAAGAAAATACCATACCCTCACCATGACCCTAAGGTCAATTATTGAACAGCAAAAACTGATTTTGGCACAATATATTTTCTTTCAATAGCACAATACTCCAGTATTTAATTATTGTTCAATAAATGACTACACCAGCTCTATTCTGTATCAGTGACAAATATTTGTTACAGTTTTGTTACGGAAAAAATATGAAAAAATTTGTATTTTTCAGCTACAAAAGTTTTGTCACCGATATAGAATTGGGCTGTAGGTGGCCATCGGGCCAAGGTGCAGGGATAGTAGTCGAGAGTTTTTGCTTTCATTTAAGCCTAAGCGGAAGGTTGTGTGAGCTTTCGGTTTTTTGCTAGAGCTTCTCAAATATTGCACAAAACGCGATTTTGTGACACTTTGACCAAATTTTTCTCAAAATCTGAAGCTGATGGAAACTATACAATTACAGATTCGCAATCAACACAAAAAAGTCTATTAAAAACAGTTTTAAAATTTTCCGCACCATTGCCTCGTTTGCTGGTGTTGTCCTGTTTAATCAAATTGGTTAAAAAATTAAGGCTTCAGTGAATTATGAACAGTAAAATACAGTCTTGAGGCACTGTTCAACTGTCTTTTGAAATAATTGTAAAAATGCTGCAACGAAGGACTACGGTAGATCCTTTGAAAAAGGCGTTTTTAAACATTTGCAAGCCGCCACCAGTCACTGGGGTTTCTCACAGTGTTTAAGATAGCAATTGCCTTGGATCTATAATCTAATTTTTTCTTCGAACAAAGCTTGAAAGTTATATGAATATATAAAACACGAGCTTCCTCAGAACTATTACTTCTAATTTCGTAAAAGCTTTCCAAATTGTTTCTACGAGCATTGAAGCCAAATAATCATTTTCGGATATAAATTAATGTTTCCGATGAATGAACGGCACAGCAAAATCTATTTTATCTGTATGAACTGATACCAAAACATTAATTTTATATTCTGCATTGACAAAAGTAAAGCTGCACATTGAGCTTATAAGACCAGTACATCCTTGAGCATGTTTCGGCTTCCCCACTGCTTTTGGGGATAGAAGACGCTTAAGGGTGCCGTAGCCTCCTTCACTGGGACTTAGAACTGAATAAAAAGCGGTATGAATTAGATTTTTTTTTTAACTGAAAATTTTTTGACCACCGGAAGGAGGTCACAAGACAACACCACAAAACATAAATTCAAATTCATAACGGCAGATATCCTTCTTTTGAACAACGAGTTCAAAAAAATAGTTTTGGCTTTTGTAGAATTTCAAATGTACCCCAAGTACACCGGTCATAAATTTGACAGTTTTCAACGGACTCTGATAATCTTATATTCGTTGAAAAGCGAACGGTTGTGCCTTTTCAATGCTTTAAGTTGAGTTGACAACCATTGATCCTTCTAAACAAGAACTATGAGAAAAATCGGAAAAAGTTATGGTGACTTTGGGTTCAAGTTACATCATATGCTTGTATTAAACCCATACCAAGTGCTTTATTAAAATAAGCAATATTTCACCCTCTTTGGATTCATATTGATCTTGTTAAAGAATAAAAAAATAAATACAAATTAAATAACAAAAAAATTAATTGTTTTAACTTGCAATGGGCCGTATGAATAAAAACTAAGCAATTGCTTTTTTCAAATTTCAGACCTTTCGACCGAATGAATGAAAAACTAATGCCAGATTTTCACTTGGTATTAAATGATACGAATTTTGATTACAAAGTTGGACGTTAAAAAATACCTGTGTCATTAGGTTAAAAAAATTATGTGGCATTAAATTCGTTTCCACATGGCATTTTTAAATGACACACATTTTTCATAATTTAAATGCCTAGTGGAAATTCGGCAGAAGCAATTGCTTTTTCTTAAAATTTCAGACCATCGTACAGTTTCCTATGTAAAAACACTATCAGTTGATTGCCAAAAAATGCCTACTGCTGAGATCACCTGCTTTTCGGCATTTGCTCTTATCTCTTACATTTTCTTCCATTTCAATCATAATTTATTCAAAATACG